GGAAGCACGGCCCGATGAAGAGATAAACAAGAGAGCAGAGTAACCAAACGATGTCAGAGTCTTACAACTAATCCGCGTATTTCCGGGACTTACAAATTTAATGACAAATTAATATGCTCCATGTTTTGAATATGGAAACATTTATATCGCATGTATATGTAGCAGCGAGTAGTGAAGAGTTGCTAGAGGGTGAATGGGGCAAAGTGATGTTGCAGTGAAACAGAGGGGACAAGACAGTCGTTAAATGCAATTAGGCATCGTCAAACCTTTCTTCTTGTTTCTATTATTATTTTTTATATATAAAATTACTCGCAAATTTGAGTTACTTTAGTGAAATATATATAACTCAAAGTCATATTAGCATTCTTCATATGTACGTACATACGGACTGCTTTCACTGTTTTTGAAACAGGTCAACATGTTTCATGAATGTAGGGTGAGACTGAATCGATCTAAACTAACCGAAAAACTTCAATGTGCGTTACGTAGTTTTCCAAGTTGTGCATAAATACAATGAGAACGATGTCTTAAGCGATGGGTTCCCAAAAGGGACAGTTGCTTGAAAGTAGCCGTCTTGTCTGCATAGGCGCACTTTCATGAAACCCTACGTACTAAGAGGAAAGTAAATGGACTGGAGAGCATATTCGATATCTTACCGTTGCTCATTGAAAAGTCTACGCGATAAAAATGGCGAAAAGAATAGCGCTACTAATCTTTAAAGTCTAATCATAGGCATTTTGTGTCGTTAAATGGGCAGACAGGCGTGACTTAACTAACACCTTATTAACTTGACTTGTACTGATTTTGAAATACATGTTATTCGCCAAGAAACGTTGAGTACTCGCTCCCCTTTAACTGTATGAAAACAATGAACTGAAATTTCGTTAGCAAGTGTTTGCAACTCAGGTGCCGGGCGTTGAAAACTTGCTCTATCGGTTAAATTGACTTTTGGTTCATATTCTTTTTATTTAAAATTTCACTTTAACCCGAACAATAAATATAAAACGTATGCTTCATTCTTTAATGTATTGTGTTAAACACCTGCGCACCTTGTATAGCTAATATATTAGCACCCACAATAATCAAGTAAATACGCATTTCTTTTTGAGCATAACGGTTTTTAGAAATTTTTTTAAGATTTTTTTTAACGTTTTTTTAAATTTGAGAAAATTGTAAAACAAGAACATATTTTTCAACGGTCCTAGATACCTTAAAGTAGACCATTACTTCATATATAGCATTTCAAAACATTTCTAAAGTTGGAAAAAAAATATATATGTATAAATAAAAAATGATATTCTTAGGAAATGAAAGAAGAAAAATAGGATTACAATAAGTATATTAAACACCGTAAGAACTGATTCAAAACCAACATAGCACTCGCAACCATTAGAGTAGAAAACAGTGCATACTTACACTTAAAAAACTTAAGAAAACATTACTTAACGTTAAGGTTTATTTTATTTTTTTTTCCTTTTTTTTTTGCTTTGGATAATTTAAGTATTTGAGGATTAAGAAAATGAAATATTTTTTAACACTGTTTTTTTTTTTTTTTGTTTTTTCTCATTTGCTTAAGGAAGCAACAGTGTTTTAATGGTTTTAATTGTTCGCAATATATGTTAAATTGTTTTATTAAGAAGAAAGCAATTTACATTCACGTTAAGGTGAATTTCAAATACCCACCATCGCCAAGTGCTCAAGGTCAAGAAGAAACATGATGCTTATTCTCTTTGCATCGAGTCTTAAAAATGACGAATGTGTATTTTAAACTTTAAATAGTGAAGCTATGGACGACCGTGTTTCCATATATGCTCTGGTTCGAATTTTTCAGTGATTTATTAACAACATAGTATGCGCGTGTGTGTAGTTTTTTCTTATGTACATGCTTACTAAATTTCAACTTTGTTTGCGACTTAAGCTTTGCGGCTTTACGGATCACAACAAGTAATGGAGAGATAGACGGACGAATGGACGGACTTCGATCCGGAAACATGTAGGATGTGCTTGCACTTTAATTGATATCTTTGAATGCAACAAATGGACTGACAGACGTAGTACACCTTCTTTTCTCGAGATGGTGGGTATAATAAAAATTTCGCTTTTTTCTTAAGAGAAACTATTTAAACAACAAAAAATTATACTTTGTTTCTCAAATAGCACTGAAATGAAGAAATCGTTCACCTTGTTCTTCTAAAGGCATATATTAAGAGAAAAGTTTCCCAAGACTTTTTTTTTTTTGTTATACTTGAAACCATAGTATTACGGCTTAAACACTTCATCGTACACGAAAACACATCATCATGAAAGTCCTACCAACATTCCATAAATCCTTTCAAAACAATTGTTGAAATAAATTGTCTCAGCAAAAAATCTCCACGAAAAAATTTTCTTTATTTATTTCAAATTTAATATCATTTCAGACTTTTTTAAAATTGTTTTTGAACGGATAAAATTTTATAAAAAAACTTGCAAAAGAATACATATATATATATATATATATATATATATATATAATTATTTTTATCGTCCCCTTAGGGGAAAATTTTGAATTTTGTATTAAAGTTAGAATGTATAAAGTTTTTTGAAAACATTTCTAAATGTTGTGTTGTAATTACTTTTGCACTTTTTTCTCACAATTTTTTCGACACTTTTTTGCCCATGCGTCATAATGTTATATAAAAATTTTTGTCTTTTGATTATGGTCGCATGTAAATCAAGTTTTTAAAAAAAGTTAATTTTTAAAAAAAAGTTGATTTTTGTCTTTTTTTTTTTTAATATATCATCTCCTGAAAAAAATTTTGTTGATTTTGCTTAATTTTTCAAGAATTTTTTTTTTTAAGTTTTCATAAAATATTTTTTTAGAAGATTTTGTTTGGTTTGACGCGTTTTTCACTAAAAATAAAGAAAATGTTGGAATTTTTTTTCTAAGTATTTAAAATATTCGTAAACACTTTTGATCAGTATTTGTTCATTTGCACCTTAAGCTTTTGTTAATGATATTTTCTTGGAGGAAGAGCAAAGAAATAAGGTTAAGGTCAACTTGCAGGAAGCCTTCCCATTAAGAGCAATTTGATAAGAAATATGTTCCCTTTATATGCAGGACGGAAAAATTAGCCTTCTATCGAGGAATTAACAAGAATTAGTCACCTAAAGTATATTTATTTTCCAGCACAACCCTTCGGATCCTTAGTATATTTCTTCCATCGTTTCTCCAATTCCATAGCTGGATTGATTATGTACAAGTTAATCAAAGAACCCTTTAAGAGAACTATATATGGGGGTGAATATTTAACAGATAGACTTATGAGGTATTGAGTAGGCCTGAGAAATGGTAGTGTGATTTGGTGCCTGACTATGTTGGGTTGATATCTGCTCCTTGTGCATTAAAATCCATGGGAGAATAGTTGGACGGTTATCCAGGAAGAATTGATAATCCAAATGCAAGAGTGTACAGTAATAACATGTATAGCGCGAGTTATAATAAAGCCAAACGTGGGATTACTCCAAGTAACAATTGGGTAATTGGGCTCTTGTCGTACGGTTCAGTGCGGCCGTTCGGGTGTGTGTCTCCGGTTACCCCAATTTTCTGGCCGTTAAATTTTTAGAAATACAAATATGTCTCGCCTTGGACAAGAGGGTTTTGATCATACTCGACAAACATACGTAAATCACTCTACAAATTTCTGAGTTACATAGGATTAAGCCGCTAAGGCAATGTGCAGACGTTACATTTCAAAATCGTCTGCTCCCTAATTTATTCATTCTATCGTCAAAAATTTCTTCTTTATTTGCTTCTTTTTTAAAAGGATGTGTAAAATCACTAAAGAATGTCTCAAGGTTTATTTTTATCTTTCGATGGTAACAGAAACGGGCGGGCTGTAATCTTTTTCCCGTTTCACATTGATTGACGCATCAATCCGTGGTGCTGAAATGAAGAAAGCAAGTTGTAATTTTCATTGGCAACTGTGGCATCGATTCGCCAGCCGGGGAGAAAAACGTACTTTCTTTCTTATTTTCTTTGCAAAAAAACAACTGAACGAACCGTTGCGTTAATAAATTGTTTGTCAAGTCTACATTAGTTCCCCCCAATTAATGAGGCTCCAAAATTTCAACACTATGCCAAAAAAATCTTGCTTACTGGATCCTTGAGAAACTTTGACTTAAAGTCATCCAATTTAAATGAAATTTTCTCTCTTGCCCTTTGAAGTTTCCATAAAATGCTTCTGTTGACTAAAAATACGTAAAAGCCTTTGAAACAGACTTTAAAGCCATAGTTGACACGCTGAAAATAAAGGAAAATAAAGAGTCGTATTGAATGAGATAATTGCTAACCATTTTAATATCTCGCGAGGCTAAATTTAACTCCTTGATGATAAGAGCGGGCCTTGTAAGTTAAACGTGAAGTTTGTACGATTTGGCGCCAGTCTTAGCTTATCTTATCATATTGATTGTAATTTCGTACATATTGGTTGTAATTTCGTACATAAAATTCATCAATAAATTTGTAATTGATGTAAAAGGAGTTTGAATGAAATATTTGACATTTCGAATGATTGCGCAAGCGTAAGACCTGTCAAGGCCGTCAGGATTCATGACTAAGTAAGGCTATGTGACGATGGCTTTAGCACCAAGCCCTCAATCTTTGCATTAATATTTATCCGTATTCAAACTCCGATAATATGTAGGCAGATCGTGAGACTGATGATCTTATGCTTATCCGGAATGTATTTATGTCTCCTCTTTATTTCCAACGATTGCTACCAAGAAACGAAAGAATTTAGAAAATATATATAAAAAAACCTTAAAATTTTTTGCAAATTTTCCCTATATTAAGAAATTTCTATAAAACATTGCAAATGTTGAACAAATGAGAAACATTTTCTTTATTTAAAGTGGGCTTTAAAACTATTTTTCGAATTTTTACTCCTCAGTTTTCAAGTTTATTAAGACAATTTGTTTTGCTTCTTTCCTTTAATATGAATGTTACTGCTGTTATTTAGTTCGGGCATTGAAGGTAATCCGACAGTATTCTATCGTCTAATGCCTGGGTCAACGGCGCAAACGAACAAGTTCCATACGTTTTATTTGCAACAAAGACCGGACAATGGCGACACTTGGGCCGATATAAAAGTCAATCATCCGCTAGACTATGAAAGTATAAAGGAATACAACCTAACCATACGCGTGGAGGTAAGATATTGCTATTTAATGTAGAAAATTATAATATTTAATTAGTTTTTTAGGGAATACTACAGTGGGGTACGGCTCATCCTTAAATAGCCTGTATCACCTCTCCCAATACAGGTCTTCGTATAACGACTTTTCTAAATGAGGCATTATCCGATCCGAATCATTTAGAATAGCCTCCGTTCTTGGACGATTTCATCAAAAATTGCGATTAAACATAAAAAATTAAGGCCGACAGACCGACAAATGGATAGACGGGCTTAAATCAATTTAAAAAGTAATTCTGTCGATCGGGTATAACAGCAGGCGTATCTATCTTCAATCCTTTTAGATATAGCGTACATCCACCCTTACACCATATTTGGCGTAGAGTTTAAAATTTCATTATAAATGAATTACCCCTCATGAAAAATAAAAATCCATTTATTTATTTACTATACCCATCACTGAAGAAAGAGGGGTATATTCATTTCGCCAAAAAGTTTGTAACGCCCAGAAGGAAGCATCAGAGACCCCACAAAGCACATATATTCTTGATCAGAATCAAATCTGTCCGCATGTCCGTCTGTGTAAAGTCTGTAATAACGCTCCCCTACCCGCAAAAATGAAGTTGTCGACTTTAAGTTCGGCAAAAGTTTTTTCACGCATTCGCTCGAAAGATACGTTCACAGCGTCGCGTAAACTGAGATCACCTCTGTTTTTCGAAACGAATGAAAAATTGGTCTTTTGCTCGCTACTCATAAACTATAGCAAATATATGTACAAAAATTTGATGCGATGGGCGAGGCTGTAGCATTTGTATACAAATATGGAAAAAAGTGGTCAACAGTACTTGCCAGTTACTTCTAAGGAAATCGTGCTTAATTTAAAATACACTTTTGCTTCTTTTCCCCCTTCCTTCAGACGATTTCCGAATAATATCGAAATTTAATAAAATCTGAAACGATACGCAAATGCTGTCTTATGTCAACTCAACCTTACTAAGTTTCGAAAATGTTTGCATATGTTTGGAATTGTTTTCAGCTTTATTGAATCCGGTAGACAATGAATACATATTCCATATGTGATTTTTCAAGGTTGTTTCTAAATTTCTTGAGCGAACACACGGACTAGTATACCGTGCGATATGCTAGCAAGCGTAAAGGGTTGGGTTGGTGGACGCATTTTATTTAAATATCACCTTCATCACCCGCAAGCATCTAAGCTTTTTGGCGTGCGCCGTTGAGAGCTCCCAGGTTGCTAATTGTTTTTTATATCCAACATTTGGGACGAAAGGCAAACTGAATATCTTTCCTTACGGAGTAAATCATAAATTCATATATAGTGTATTGACATCCGTAAATATATCGCAACATCTTAGATTAATCATTTTTGCGATCGCTAGAAGCCGAAGGAATGAAGGCATGGATTTAATCGATAATAATAATGACACGCCTATTAGATGGACTTGCACTTTGCCGACGCAAAAGTAATTTACAAATCATCTAGATGAACGTATTCGCCGGCTGTGCTCTCTTCGTACATGATCTATGTTGAAATTTTGTGGTTAATTTACCTCTTTTCACTCTTGCCTCCCATATCATCGAAACCTGCTTTCTTCAAATGTCGATTCAAATTCCTGCTTTTATATAGCATACAATATTCCGTAATTTAGCACTGGAGAAGAACGAAAAACAACTACAAATCGTTGCGGATTGTCTTTGACGAATTTTGCTGAATCTTTTTGTATTTATCTAAAAGGTTATTTCCAAAGTATGACGTTCATGTTGAACTGAAATATGACGAGCATTTTCAGACAACTATATTATTTCCGTCGAGCTCCTTAATGGATCATTTGCATTAAACTAATATGTGACACGCTGCTTATCTACTTTAGATGGCTAAAAAATATTACTTTCGTGAGTTACCTTGCCCTACCTCTCCCCATTTCCACACACGCTTTTGTCATTCAACACGGTTTCATTGTCAGCCTTAACTTACTTTAAGCTTCATACTCGTACATGCCTTAACTTTCATTTTCAGAAGCTAAGCCCATACATGTGAATATTTACATTTGATTTCCGTTAAATGGAGATTTTATAGAAAACCAAGTAGTCCTATTAATTAGTTGCATTTTGTAGATTCGAAACACAAGTATACACATCTCACAAATTCATTAAGACTAAATAAAAAAAAACCAAAGTAAAATACATTTCAATTAAGAGAGCGTTTGCGAAGCTCGCCGGGAAGCATATCTCGCTTCTACTACTCTGTGCGATTAATTACTTTTGTCTTTTCATTAAAACAAAGAAAAGCATACATATCCCTCCGTCCAAGTCTGACGTCTCAAATATTGACGTTTTCGATGACTTTTGGTAAAAAAATTATTTCAATTCGAATAAGAATAAAAATACTTTTTCCGATTGTGTTAATTCAAAACATTTTTCGTAACGGCCTTATGTTTCTTTATTAGGTCTGCCGTCCGAGTTAGTTTGCACATTTTCCAACTTTTGAGCTTGAAACAAACAGTTACAGGACACCAAAGATTGTCGATGGCTTTTGCTTATATGAAAAGACCTTTAAATACATACAATGAATATTTTCCTTCCTGTGATTGTTTCGCCAACGCTGTTGCCGTGGCAGCACCCAATTTTGCAGAAATCGGTCAATTGGATTTATAATTTTTGTAGGATCGTCGAAGTCGTAAAAATAAAGGGAATAAGCAGGTGAAACTTGATGAAAATATTTCTGACTCGATTAAGAACTCAACAACCGTGTCCACGTACCCGCTTATAATATTGTTACGAAATTCGCTTTTCTCGGATACGGTTCGTATCACTAGATCGTGGATATTCTTTTTAAGAGAAATTTTTTTTCTTTCTCTATTTACATTTTCTTTTGGCAATACTCTCGACTTCACAACTCTAATATTCCTTTTCGACTCAAATGTTCTCGTCCGACTGACTCTGTCGTTCGCAGAGAGTCTGTGTATATACATTTTTACAAGCATGTTATTATTATCTAAGTTCATGGTTTCATCTTTAATCCGTCAACCTGCTTTCCCGCCAATCGTTTTCCTCGACCAGCAGGCGCATGACGCGCCGCGCACTTGGGTCTTCCCTCTCTAGGGAATTCATTATTTGGGAAAATCAGTTAGTTGGAATGAACTGGATGTGGAATTTCCGTAACAATATAATGTATATGTAATAATATATTTATACAAAGCTGGGCCGTTCATAAGCGTATCCCGCTAATTGGCCGCTGACTGTTTCACATCACTGTAATGCTTGTTTTTTGCCAAATGCCAATGTAATCAGTTCTTTTCGGAAGACCTGCACTCTTTTTTAAACTATTTAAACTATTTTTTGCTGTTTGGTTATCCAAGCACTTTTCACGACGCTGTAGTGTTGTTTTTTTTTTTTCTTTTTTTTCTAACAGAAATATTTATTTTATCATTTTTTTATTGCGTTTTATTTCTACTGAATTCCCAAATTATGTGCACAAAGATAATTCCACATTAACTAAGGACGATTTTCGAGGATTGCAAAGAAAAACTTTAAAAAGTGGAGCACATATATTTTCTCTCCCAAGTGCAAGTCACTTTTTGCTTTTTAAGACAAAGGAGTTCGCTGTCATCCTCATATTAAACATTGAATCAATACCGTTTGATGATTAACTTACTTTAGATGACGGGATGTGAGACGCTTGTTTCTAACTTTCGTTATCAGTGTTGACTTCTTATTTACATTGGATTTGTTTTACTCATAATTATTCCACTCTAATTGCCTTCAATGGATGCCAAATCGCTTAGATTTGCTCACCGAATAAGTTCAAATTATTTTGCCTTAATCATGATGGAGAACTATTTATTGACTTTTTGCAGATAAAATTTGTACTAGGTATGTAAATGTGAAAGGGAAATTCGCCCATTTAGATAGCGATTACGTGTAGTGGACATAAATGTCTGAAGTCGTTTGTTTCTTATAGTTTGGACATTCGGAAACAATAAATAGTCGTAATAACGAATCATATCGCAATGCAAAAATGCTTTTTCGAACAACGAAAATGTTGCGCTCGCACTCGCCGAGACGACTGTTAATTTGTGTGTCGTATCGTAATTGTGTACGAAAAGTGAAAGTATTTTAAGAGTCTCAGGCGTAAGAATTCATGGACAGGCGTTACAATCGCATCGACTGCAAGGTTGGTGGATGGTTTTTTTATATGACGGCCGTCTACCATCCGTTATCCAAATAGCAAAAGCGAGGATATGTTGAAGGCGCTTAAGTGGACAGCGCAAAGTCATGCGGCTTACTCATCAAACTTGAGTTCTTACGATTATCACTTGCTTGCATCCACGGTACATGCATATGCTGCGCAGCACGCTGAGCTCTTCGTATGAGAACATACAAAAATGGATCGATGAATGCTTCGCCTCAAAAAAGTAAAAATTTTTCGACATGCCATCCACAAGTTCTCGGACGAGTGGGAAATATACTTAGCTGGCGATAATCAGTACTTCGAATAATATACTTTTTAACATTTTCATGCAATAAAAATGTGTTTTCTGTACACAACCTTCGGTTTCATATATAGATACCTGTTATTAATTGCACAAAATATATCATTGCAAATATTCAGTTACATTTGTGCTCTATTTGGCACATCCACAAGTAGGCATCAAGCAGCCATCAAGTAGTGATTTAAATATTAACACAAAACATTCAAGTTTATAATGGATTTTAATGGATTAACTGAACTTAAAAATGGGCGTGACTTGGGGAAAACGCCTTTAATAGATTGAAATGGGACTGCAAGAATTTATTAGACACTTGACCCGTTTATATGACGCAATGCGGCAGAAAGTATGTGAACGTTATCCGAAATTCGCTTTAAAACTAAAACAATTTTATTAATTGTTTGAAAAAAGTTCGCAACTAGTTTTTCTAATATGATAATTAAACTTATGCGTAGCAATTAGTGTTTAAACCATAAAATCATTTCAATTAAAACGAAACGCTGTTAAAATATTGTTTCTATGTATTAATTAGTTTCCCACGCATAGTTTATTTAGTTTAAAATATTTTTGATTGCAAACCTCACATTTTGATTATAAATCCTGACCACTTGGCGTAAATATTAAATCAATTGTAATGAAAAGTAAATTTACAACATTTTATTAAGGGTTTAATTGAAAATTTCATTTTCAGATATTATAAATAATAATTTTTATGTCATATAGGAAATGAAAATATTTTTGATTTAATAAATTTCGAGAGACAGAGAGAGAGAGAGAGAGAGAGAGAGAGAGAGACTAAGTGTTGCCAATAAAATTTGCTTATATTTACTACTTTCAGAACAACGGTGCCCAGCAACTGGCTTCGGAAGCAACGGTTTACATTATGCTAGAAGATGTTAATGACGAGATACCTTTATTTACTGAACGTGAACAGGAAACGGTTTTGGAAGGCGAACCTATTGGCACCAAAGTAACTCAAGTGAATGCCATTGATAAAGATGGCACATTTCCAAATAATCAGGTAAGCAAATTAACCCTAGCTGAGAGCTAAACAACATTCATTTGAAAGTTAAGGATGAAAGGGCAGAGCAAGAGAACAGGAAAAGATGGGAAAAAATAATGAAAAAGATACGTACGCTGTTAGGTTTTAGGTGTTAGGTGGCTTGGAATGCAACGCTAAGTAATCCGTTTGGAAGAATAAGTCGGCTTTCGTTCACTGAGGGGTACGTTCTGGTCGTTTTATTTATGCGGTTGTTTATCGTAAATAGGGATAATATTCGCATCCAAAAATTCGTTGCCTTAAACCCACTATCTGTGAGTTTACCTTTACGCTAAGATTTAACATCGAAAAATAACTGGTGTTGATTTTGCGAAAGATCAGACCAGATTTGAAAAGCCACAATTTATTATTTGTGAGCTCGCTTAATATAGTCTACCAATGGCAATTTTTTCTTAAGAAGAATCAACGATAAGTGCAAGTCAAAGGTTGCCAAGCAAGTGACAGTAATTTAATTGAAGAGAAGGTTTACTCTCTGATATGCCGCGACTAAGATGTTTTGTGCTTGCCGGTTAAAAAGCATTAACATTCTCTTTGAAATATTGGTTGTGAAAACGGCGAGAAAGGAATTGAAGAAAGGATATGTCTTTCAATTTGTCTTTGCACGACACCAGTATCTGCAAACTCTAGTGGAAATAACGTTATTTTTTGCAAGCTTTCTCGAATTATTTGCAAGCAAGAAAATGTCTTTTATGGTGGGCGTGCGTATCTCGTTTTAATTTGAAAAAATATCCTGCAGAACCGCAACCGACGTTCAAAAATGGCCAGCCGGTGTGCTAAAAAAGCGCCCACATTTGCAACTATCTGCTGGGTATGTAGTGAAATTAAGTGCTCTAAGCTAACGAAATCTTTGCTGAAAAACACTACCAGTAGCGAATGATGAAATTGAGTCGATCAGTAGAGCAAAATCTTTCACATAAAGGCGAACGTCGTATAATAATTTAATTGTTGAACGTACTGACGGCCGTCGCCACATTAGAAATACCGAAGCTTTAGCGACATTGTACTAGAGTATCTTAATCCAGACGTATTGTCTTCAGTTCGTCGTTTCTTGTTTCAATCAGTAACTTGTAGCGTGTTATACGTGCTTTGATTCTTAAAATGATACTCGAAATATCTACAATTGTTCCTATGATAAGATAGATACCAGGTTGAAATCGCCTGAAGTTCGATGGAGTGCAACGGCAGCGTATTTCGAAAATGAAATGAAATATTTCCAATGCAGTTCAAATGTCTTTTATTGAAGTGTAGCTAGCAATTCGATCTGAGGTCTGCAAAAACCCGTGGTCTACAAACCTCGCGGAAATTCATTTTCAATATTCATTTTGCATGACAAATCATTTCGCATAAGAAATCATGGTATTCTTGCATCTTGAAACGGACTTGTTCTCCATATATGAAAGAAGAAAGAAGTTAAAGACTGACCAAATAGCTGGTGATGCGTCAGTTGTTTCCATTTAAGCAAATAAGCCAGAAAATTTCAACGATATTTAAAGTTGTTCTATGAGTTGCAAGAAAACGTCTCTCAGACAAGAGAAAAGAAGGAAAGTAACATAGAGGGCTCGCTCTGATTTTAATTTTATTTATACCATAAATGTATGTGCATAATACGATGTGATTTCGCACCGACGCTTGGTGTAGAAATATTGAGACCGATGTTCGGCACTTCTTGCCACGGAATTTAATTAAAGCGCCTTTCTATGATTTTCCTTATCTTAAATCACTTGCTTCATTTTACAAGAATAATTTTTTTTTTTAAATTTCATTGGAAATGCCAAGATTGCCACGTGAGCATTATTTTCATGAACAGGCTTATAGAACTGAGAGCACTGAAAGCGAGAAAACTTTTTAATAAATAAATAAATCTACAAGACCTTGGAAACGATGTTTAAAAACTATGAAGTGCTCTTAAAATGTTAGTGAACGAATGTTCAAGAAATGTGTTGAAAAGCGGTGTGAGTTTGTTTTTTTATTTCTTTATTTTAATTTTCTTCTTTGTCTTTAGTTTCTTTTCTTTTAAGCTTAATGCACATCAGTTTCCCTGAATACTCTTCACATTTCTGAAATATATTTGAACAATTTCTCTCTTACCTCAAATAATTAAATTCAGTGAAAACTGATTGAAAATTATTATGCTTAAGCTTAAGAAGGAGAATTGAAAAGAAAAATCGAAACGGTATTAAGAAGAGTACTGCGGTACCTACAACCACAAGGAAAATTGTAGTGTTAAATAAGCACTACAGTAGTAAAGAAGTTGTAATAAGTCAGAATAATTAGCTTCTCAAGAGGGAGGCAGAAGGATTAAGGAAGGTTCTCCCCTTTCTCATGTAACATTTTCTTTTACTTAAATATTAAGGTTTTTATTTATTTATTTATTTTTTTTTTAATAATCTTACAAGGACTACCGTTTATTGTGTTGGACGAGTGCTCTTTTCTGAGTGCATATGATAAACCTTCTGCCTTTTTATATTTCAATCTTATTTTAGACTTTTTCTTTATACACTTTACAGGTTTATTACTACATTGTAGACTCACCACGTAATGAAGGCAAAGAATTTTTCGAAATTAATTTACAAAGCGGCGAAATATTCACCAAAACCGTTTTCGATAGAGAGAAAAAAGGAGCATATGCCTTGGAAGTGGAGGCCCGAGACGGTGCCCCTTCAGCACGTCCCAATAGCAACGGCCAACCAAATTCAGGTACAGTTTATTATTATTTACATAACATTGTCTTCTTAGAATTAAAGTAAAAGGCACGACGGTCGGTATGGATATAGTTTTGATCGCTTTACACTGCTTGTGTAAACTTTCCTTAAGTGCTGATGTTGCAAAAGAGGGGCTTATGCAAATTTAACTTGAATTTCGTTTGTTTTTTTTTCTCTGAGCGTAACATTTAAATCACTAGCAAAACTAAACAAGTATTTCAACAAATGTCGCTGACAAATACAATGTGGAAAAAATGAAAGAAACTTTTTCTAGCTTCGTTGTCTCCAGAGTTTTGCATAAATGTTTCTCTGTTTTTTTTTTTTCTTGTTTGTTCTCTTTTAACCACTATAAATTCAAAAGAAATAGCATGTTACAGCATACTGCGCTGTGAAATAAAATTTGTATTAGTTAGCGAAGTGTACAAATCAATTTAATGGAAAGCAATATTTAAAGATTTGACTTCCATTGGTTATGGTGCATTTTGCTGAAGCAGCTACGTCCTTGTTTCGACTTTTCGGTTGCACTTCAAGTAAATGCAAGAGATAGGAAGAGAAAGGAATAGAGTAAGAAAACATTTTTATGGCCCTCAAAGAAGGAGTCATATGGTTAGCAGGTTTTAAAAATGCATTTCACATATGTTTCAGACCGACTAGAAAGTGTTAGGTTATTTGACCGCACATAGAACATAGGTATTGTTAACCGTGAACGCACAAAAGCATCTCAAGCTAAGAACGTGGCTAAAAGTCTCAAATGCACATCTTGCTTAGCGTGGACATAAGGCTATTGTTTGTGCCGAGGTAAGGGGTTCTCAACATCCATCCGTACCATTCAACATAAAAATTAGATGTAAAAGGAAGCAAGTTTTACTTTTAAATCTGTAAGTGGAATCCAAAACTGGGAAGAGTAGAAAGAGTAGAAAGACGTCGAAGATTTCAGAACGCTTTCATCTACTCTTTGCTGTTTTTAAAAAGTACTCATGTGTTACATTATTTGGATAGGGTTAAGTTCATTTGAATACGCGCACGAACGTAAATATCAGTATGAATAGAAAATGAAATAGAAACGCAATTAGGAATAGGAATATGAATATGAATAAGGATGCGAATGTTGGTAAGGATGTGAACATAAACATGGATGAATATGATTGTGAACATGAATATAAGCATGAATATTAGCATAATTAGAAATAGGAATTCAAGTACCAGTATGATTAAAAATGACGTATATGAATAGAAAGAGAATCAAGAATAGGAATAGGACTCGGGAATGTAATAGAAATAGGACTAGAAATAGGTATATGAATACGGATAGGGACAGCAATATGAATGTGGATATGAACATAAGCAGGAACGTGAGCAAGGATATGAGTGTGATTGTAATTGTGAATATGTATATAAATATGAATATGTAAATAATCATTAATGAATATCGTTGTGATTGTGAATGTAAATGTAAATATGAACACAAATATGACAATGAATATGAACGGGAGTGTACATAAGAGTAAGAAATTTAAATATCAATATGATTAAAAATGAATACGGGCATGAGCACCTGTGTGTATATAAACATGATTATGAATAAGAGCACACGTATGATTACGTATGTAGTAGTGAATATGAATATGAACAAACATATGAATGTGAATATGAACTTGAACCTAAACCTAAACAGGAGCGTGAATATGCTTGTAATTAAGAATATGGATATAAAATTGGGCATGAACACGTACACAAATATAACTATGAATGTAAGTACTAGTAAAAGTATATAAATTATAACTTCCAGAGGACTGATTTCCTTTTAATTTACTGAAGAATTTTTTTGAAATGATGACTAACTAATTTCAAATCGAATATATTCGTTTTTATTCCTTCATGACATTTCCCATTAAACGGTTTGTTTACTTTTCATTCAACGAACTTCATTCCAATAGCATTAACAATATATGCTAACATGCCAAATATCGTGCGCATATACATATACATAAATATATGCCCGGATGCCGGCTGAAAGCAATACGAGTTAACTCTACCAATTTTCTTTTATATATGTCAACCATTATCCTCTTTAATTTTTGCATATTTTTGCACGCTCTATATCTACACAAGAACTATTTCCAACTACAGTTTGCGTTTATTATTCACAAATGGTTATCCAGTGTTTGTTTTGTGTACCGATATATGCCGGCAGGGTTTTATGTAAATTTTTTCCCTTTATTTACACATAGACAAAGTGAAATTTTGTCATTTTCAATCAAAATCTTATTAAACATCAACGTGTACATGAGCACATATATACTTGCATGTGATTATGTGCGCAGGGAACAGGGCTATAAAGTTAAACAAAACAAAATAGAGGTAATATTCGAAAAACTGACTCTGTGGTGCTATGAGAGTTCATAATAAAGCTAGTCGCGTAAAAGTGTAAATAGTCAATTGCGTTATATATATAGGTATTTATATGTACATATATGTACGCGTATATTATGTATTGTGTGTATGTATGCTGCGTATTACTATCCGTCTGAACTGACTATAATTATAGTGTTCAGTTTTTATTTGCAGAAACACTTTAAAGCATTTTGTTTCGTAGTTGCAGCATACGCTATCATTTCAGTTAACGAGATTTTTACATCCTACACCACGATAGAAGAGCATATTAAGTTTGTGCGGATGTATTCAACATGCAGGAGAGCTGGAGATAGACATACCTTTTATTATACTAACCTTTTCAGAGTCACTTTCTAAGTCGATCTAAGTTTGTTTGTCCGTCCGTCCGTCCGTCCGCCCGTCTGTACATCTTGGTTTCTTGTGTTCAACCTACAGTTCATAATTTTTGAGAGAGTTGAGAAAATTGAGAAAATTGCCAGACAGACATATGAATAAATACATTGACCGAAATGCGGTAGAGCATTTAATGGTGGGCCACGTTCGATTATGGAGTGCTTAATTGTCGGTACTAGAAAAATATGCAAAAAGCTAGGAAGTAATTACAAATCACAAATCGTTGACGTCCGTATGACCTGAGAATACATTTGTTTAATATCAATTTTTGTCTTGCTATCTTATACTAGCTAAGAAGTTCCGAACTGATACGGGTAGAGGAAGTTAATACACAGAAGCCAATCCCATTTTGAGTGAACTTTTAGAGATAGGAGTTGAAACAATTTCTTTAGAGTGAACAGTGTTTCATACATAATATTTTGCTTATCCTCTGCGTTCCACGAATGTACGCTTTCTTCTCGTACATGTGCTTAATTTAAGTAACTACTCAGTATTCGTAAGAGTTAAAAGGAAGAATTATTTTACGTTTTGCAATCTGGTTCGCTATATTGATGTAGTTGCGACACGAGAGATTTACAAATCTTCAAGTGGAATGTAAAGCTAAAGGGGCATCTTTTATTTCTTTGAAACGATCTTATAGAACCATTTAGATGTATTGAACGTAGTTCTAAAATTAGAATTCCCTAATTCACTATTTAAAGGATATTTCGTCTTTTTATTTCTAACGCCATTAGATCGACTTTTTCTTTACATCGAATATTTCTCTATGTTTTCTTTGTGACGAGCTTGCAGGACCACCAAAAAATTAGGATAGACATTTGTTCTAGGATTTGTTTAATTTTATTCTAAACCTAAAAGCATTTGTGAATAAAAACATGCCAGCAAAACCTCACTTACTTGGTGAGAAACTTATCTGTGGTAAATGATGCTAACAATTAGTCTATAATATTGTGACTTTTGTATTGTCTTCAACACATTATCAGGGATTTACTCGCGGAATCTCATTTTACAGTAGCTTAGAAAGCTTTTAGGAAATCGCAGAAACTGAGGTAAGACGACTACTACGTGTTACGCGAGTACAAATCTCAGCACGGTTGGACCGTACATGGTCGTAGCTATAACGATTACTAAACTGAAGAAGGCATAAGACTTACCAAATGACCGCACACCCTTCTTTCTGGCTATTGTCACCTCACATGGATAGGGCAAGTTCCCTAAGTAATTGATCACATTAGAAAAGAAAGATGTGGTTACCAAAATTTTACATGTGCTTACCAAAAGACTACAGGCGCTTCAAAAGCCGCACAGCTTAGGCTGGATTTCCAATATATGTTTAAAGGACAGTTCTTTTGTCTATTTATCGCTAGTTTGCCCGTTTGTTGAGGTCTCAAATAAAGTTAGCAATCCGCAAGTTCGGCCCACAAAACCGATCACTTTTCCATTCTTCTAAATGAAAGAGCCTCCAGGTGGGAGCTTTGAATTAGACTTTGAATATTAGCTACGTCGTAACAGAGAATATAGCCCATGGCCCATAGCCCAAAAACCCAAGCGTAATACAGGGGATTATTTAAATAAAAATGTCATATGAAATGTATTCAGCGTGGGACATATCAAATCGATATATCAAGTGCAATAGTTATTGAATGTAGCCCGTCGGATAACTGTTGATGAAAAGAGATTCGACCGAACAGAAGAGACTTTCCTGTTAGTTCCAAGTTTCGCCTTAACGTTGTGCTTATTTGCTTAATTTATTCTTAATTTATTTATTTATTTCTATTTTTTCTTTTATCTTGTACATCATATACGCAGAACTGTCTCTTTTAGCGAAACGCTGTCAGTAATTGAAAGGGAAGAAAACAAAAAGTTAAAATAAGAGCAAAAAAAAAAATAGTGAAATCAGCCATTGAAAAAAATAATCAATTTGTCGTACAAATTGAAAATGAAAATTTTATCCAAGGACATGCTCCATTCTTCTTCTTTTTTATTTATTTTTGTTTTAATTTTATTTCTGTTTTCTGTCGTACTCACTTACTAAAAACACAATAGTGCTGTGTCAGTTTATTTTTATTTTTGTTTTTTGTGCTCACTATCTCCTATGAGTGGATTTATAACAACAACAACAATTACTCAGACAGTACTACAAACAAGTGCATATACGTACACGTATAGCATAACAAAATATTTTGTATATTTGTTTGCATATATGCA